GGAAGACAAAGTAATTTCCTTCTGTTATTCATACTCAAAATTTTGATTTAAGGAAAAGGCCTCTTCAAATTTAAAGTGTCTCAAAACTTCTGTCTGGCCTTAGATATTCCTAAATTTAAAACATTTACAAATTCAGTCAACTTGAATGAATACCTTGATCTAATTTTCAACTTCTATCTTTGTAAAATTGAGATTCTCTTACGACTTATTAGGGGTATGATTCATTTTTACCCATGTACCACAAAGTAACCATGTGTTTATGTTTGTTTGTGAATAAATTATGATGTAAACATTTAGCATCATGTTTTGTCTCTGCTTATCTGAAATATTTCTTGTTGAACACCATTCAAAACCAGTTCTAATTTGGGTGCAAAAATATTCAGAAAGTGAATTAAAGTTTCGGAATGAATTTCTTTAGTTTTCATTTCAAGCACATCATATGGGATAGAAGATCTCTGAATTTTTTCATTATTTGCAGAGTTTAGGTCATTTTCCAACTTTTTCTGGAGATAAAGTTTCTAGGTGAAACTTTATGAGTCCATTATAAATAAGAGCTCAGAACATAAAGCCTCTTTTGTGAGAGATAGAGTATGGCTTTTTTTTTTTTATATATAATGCTCTACATGGTAAGACATTTTTCAGTTTGGAAGAATTTCTTGACGGTTAATTCCCTCAAAAAATTAGGTTAAGTGTATCAGAACAATTACTAATCTAGAATCTTTAGAAAACAAGGCAATGTATTTTCCTTTCTTGGGGGCTGCGAAAGAGGACCAATTTAGTCATCATCAACCCATATGGTATTTTAGAGAATTTGTCAGTTTTCACCTTAGGATTTAATCAACTATGTGTAGATGTCAGGAGATAGGAGGGTAGGAGAAGGTAAATTTCTAAAAGTGCTTTACCATTTTTTGTAATTTACATTCATCAGTATTATCACACCTCCAACATGGCCCCTGTATTTTTCTGAGGCAAAACAAAATGGGTCAGAAAAGAAATTTAGGAATTCTGGACTCAGATCCTAGTTGCTAGTTGCCTTATTTGGTGCTAAGCTGTATTTCATTTAAAGGTGTCAAGAACAAACATAGTTTTGGTTACTCCCCCTTCCCTCTTTCCCCCCATCTGGTTACTTGGGGCTTGATTTTTAAAAGCTGAGGATGGAGAATTAGTCACAAACTTGGGAACTGTGAGCTTTCTTTCCCTAAAGGGAGAGCCTGAACATCAAAAAGTGAAAAGAATGCCTCTGGATTGTTTTCCTTGTGCTCCATTGTAAGAATAACTTTTAGTCAAGATGCTTCTCTGTAGTGGGCCAGTTATCTTGCTAATCTGTCTCTTTCTCATACTTTGTTCTAGGGGGTTCTAGCCACATCTTACTGTCTTTGTGGGTCCTAATGGAGGTCCAAGTCCTAAAGCCTTTCCATCTTCTGAATATTTTATACAGAATACAGTTTTGTAGATCTACTATGTTTGGATGTCAGCGAGTCCTAACCTTCTATAATGCCGAGACAAAGTCAAGCTGAAAAAAATAACAAAGAAAATAGTCTTTAGAAATAGATATAGTTTGTTCTGATCCTATGTTTACACTCAAGAAAAATAAAATGTACTTTCATAGGTCCCTGCTGATTACTTCACTCTGCTAAGATAATTTTTGATCAGTAGTTTATTTTGAATGCCATTTTAAAGTGGTAACATTTTGTGATGTTGGCAAAGTTATTCCAGCCACTCCCCTCCCCCCCCCCCCCCCCCGCCCTTTTCCCCCCAGGAGAGCAAGAAGCCTTGTAATAACGCAAAACTTTGGTAGAAGACACCTAAATGTTATTTAAATAGAGCTTGACCTTTGAGCCAGTGTACTGTTTCTCTAAGTCAAGTTAGCATGCAAATAACGTAAATATAACCAGAAATGTAACAAGGGTATCTAATACTCATCAAATTTATTTCTAAAATATTGCAGTGGATTCAGAACCCTGAATTCCAACCAGATGTACTTCTGGAATATTACACAGGTCATATATATTTCACTTTTTTTTGGGTTCAAACCCAGGGGATCGACACGATAATTAGATTGAGGACATCTGCACCAAATCCAAACCATTTCCCTGATCCTTCTTGAGCCTTCCCCACGGGAGGTTTTTTTGTTTTGTTTTGTTTTATTTCTTTAAGCCCTTGCACATTTTATTTGTCTAGCCATCTTTAAGGCAATTCCGAGGTCTCGCCTGCTTGCCACCGCACAAATAGGAGGGGAGCGCAGACGTACCCCCAAGAGTGGGATACCGGGGGAGATCGTTAGACGTGGCATCTCGTCGGGACAGGACTCCCCAGAGGTGGCAGTGCAGTTTCCCGCCTGGGGCCTGGCTCCGGGACAGGGCGTGGCCAGGCACGGGGCGCGCGGGTGGGCACGTGCGCGGGGACCCGAGGACGCGAGTGTCGGGGCGCCGCTGCCCTCTACCGGGCGGCGCGGTCGGAGCTGCAGCGCGGCCGCCGGCCGACTGCGCGCGCGGGCTCGGGCGCCCCACATCGAGGCGGTCCTCGGCGTTCCCGAGGTCGCCACTGCCCTGCCCCGCGCGGCGTCACAGCATCTGCGGCCGAGGCTCGCGACGCCCCCGCCCCGCGCCCGCGCGCTGCCACCCACCTGCTTCCTGCCCCCTCTGCTAGTCGAAGCCTAGACCGGGACGCCGAGGGAACCCCCCGGCCGACCTCGGGAACTGCGCGTTGACGACACTGAGGCTCCTGGTCGGCAGCGCGAGACCTGGGGCACGTGTGTTCTCTAAATCTTGTGGCCTTTGATTTCCAGGCCGTTCATTCAAAAACGCTTATTTCACCCCCACGATCGGCGCTAAGCCCTCGAACTTAGCTGACAAGCAGTTATAGCCTACTTACATGTTTTATTTTGCATTCCATACGAATTTTATTTATCTATAATTTTCAAGATTAAGGAATCTGGGGGTTTGTTTTAACTAATTACACGTCAAATGAAGTGCGGGAGAGTAAAAGTACAGTGTTCCTCCTGGAAAAGTCAAACTCACACGTGTGTATAATCAATTAAAGATGACGATCATAAAACGTGTGCTTTTTCCAGGTTTCTGCGAAAAAAGAAATCAAAAGCAAATTGACTCTTGGGTTTAAATTTTAGCATTTCTGTAACCAGGGACCATGCTGTCTGGTATAAGTGCACCTACTCTTTCCAAGTTTCTGCACCAAAAGGAGTGAAAACCGAAGTGTCTTGAACTGCAGGAAGTTTCCAGGGCTGTTCCGCTGAAGCGGTGCGGGGGGATACACAACGGTGCGCCAAGACTTTTCCTGTCTTGGCCTAAGCGGTCGCAGCTCGGGCGGATGGGGGCCGCTCGGACCCCTGGCCACCGGGATTGCGGTGCGCCTCGGTCCGTCGCGGGGACCGCGCTGCCACCGTTCTGGGCATTAACGTGTGCAGCGACAGGAGGATCAGGGCTGGTTTCACCCCAACTCCACTCCCCCCCAACTTGAAACGCTGTCCCCGGCGGGCTCGGCCCGAGTCCGGCCGGGGCCCGGTGCAGTGGGTGTGCGGCAGCCGCCGGCCAGCGTGCCTCGCACACGCGGGGCAGCCGTGGGCCGGGTCCGCGCGGGGTCGGGGCTCGGGCAGGTGGTCGCGGCGGCTCCGCACGCTCGGGGCCCGCAGGAGGGCAAGCGAAAGCCGCGCGGCTCCGGCGCTCCCAGACGCGGCCGAAAGCCCCGACCGAGGGCCCCGGAGCGGTTGCGCTCGGCCGCCGCCTGCCCCCGCGACCCCCAAGCACGCCCCAGGTGAGCCGGGCCCGGGGCCTCCGGCGGGGGCCCGGGCGCCCCTCCCGCCGCCCTCCAGCGCCCCCTCGGGGCCGGGCCGGCGGCCGCCGCCCGCCGCCCGCTGGGGGCAGGGGGCTCGGGAGGGGCGGGGGTCGCGGGCCGGGCGCCGGACGCCGGGGGGGAGGGGGCAGGGGCCGCGCGCGCCAGGCCCCGCGGCGGCCGCCGCGCCCTCGGGCTCCGACTCCGGCTCCGGCTCGGGCTCGCCATGGCTGCGGCGGCGCCGTGAGGAGGAGTCCGCGTCCTCCGTGGCGGCGGCAGCGGCCGGCTCCAGGCCGGGTTTTGGCGCCGCCCGCCTGCTGCCTCCTGGCGGCTCCTGAACTCCAGCCCCCTCTCTATCAGCCTCTCACTCCGTCTCAATATGTCTCAAGATGGCGGCCAATGTGGGATCGATGTTTCAATATTGGAAGCGCTTTGATTTACAGCAGCTGCAGGTCAGGCTTCTGCTCGCTCGGCCTCTCGCCCGGGGGTGGGGGCTGCGGGCGGTCGCGGCCTCCCCCGGGGCCCCGGGCTGCCCGGCCGCCGGGGGGCCGCGGCGGCGGGGAGGAGGGGGGTGCCGGGGAAAGCGGGGCCGAGTCGGGGACAAGTCCCTCTCGCTCCCCGGCCCCCATTGATAACTCGCTTGATCAGAAATTGATCCTCTTTGTTCAATTCATCGATCAGCCCAAGATGGCGCCGGGAGCCGCCGCCGCCACCGCTGCCCCCGGTGTCGGCCCCCACCCCGGGCGCCCCCCCGGCCCTGCGCCGCCGCCACCGCCGCCGCCGCCGCCGCGGGACCGGGGAGGGGGGCGGCCCCGGCGGCCCGCGGGGTGCGCGCGCGAGCGGGGAGCGGGCGGCGGCGGGCGGCGGCGGCGGCGGCGGCGGGCGCTGCGCCGGGAGGGGGCTGCGGCCCGGCGGCGGCGCCCGGCCGCGCGCCCCGCGCCCCCGGCCCGCCGTATTCCCGGGGAAAGTTTGTGGGGAGTTGCTGTGGGGGGTGAAGCGCCTGCCTCTCCAGGAGGAGCCGCCGCCGCCACTGCCGCCGGCGCGGCGGAGCTGGGGCTGGTGGCGCTGTGGTGCCGCCGGCTCGGGGGAGGGTCAGAGCGGCCACCGGCGGCGGCGGCGGCGGCAGCGGCGGCGCGGCCCGGCTCCGGCCAGGCGGGCGGGTGGCCGGGCGGGCGGCCGGGCGGCCGCGCGCCCCGGCCCCGGCCGGCCCGGGCCCCGGCCGCCGCGCCGGGCTGTCAGCGGGCCGGGGCCGCGCCGCCGCTCCCGCACCCGGCGTTGGGCTCTCCGAGCGGACCCCGGGGTTTGTTTACGTCCGGGCGGGCGCCCCGGGGCCACCCGCAGCCGCCCCGCTCTTTTGTGTGCCTGCACGAGTGGCGCGGACTGGCCCCTCCGCGGCCAGAGACCCCGGTCGGGGCGCTTGGGGGAAACTTGCGAGGGCCGGCGGGCGCCCGGCGCGCGGAGCCCGTGGGTCGGAGCGCCCGGCGGGAGCCGGTGCGGGCGGAGGGCAGCAACTTTCCCCGAGCGCAGGCCCCGCGCTGCGCCCCGGCGCGCCGTTGGCCCGGGTGGGGGACGCTTCCTCCCCGCCGCCTGTCCCGGCGGCTCTAGCCCCGAGCCCAGGGGCTCCCGCAGCCCTCCGTGACCCGCCCGCTCCGCTCCGGCCCTCTTCTCGGGGGCCCTGGCGCCCCCCCGCAGGGTCCGCGGTGGCAATGGAGCGCGCGGCTGGTCCTCTCCGAAATGCCTTCTCGGGTCGGGTTCTCGAAGGCAAAGCCCCGGGGGCCCCCCTCGACTGTGGCGTGCTGGGCCACGGTCCGCGCGCCGAGCCCGGGGCGCCGTGGGGGGATCATGCGGGGGCCCCTCATCCGGCCCCGGTGCCGCCGCGGTGCCCAGGGGGCGCGTTCCTGCCTGCCACCCCCCACCCAGAGGAGCGGCGCACCCTTGGGGGTCACCCCGAACCTGCCGGCTCCGCGCTCGCGGCGCCTGGACAGCCCCGGGACTCTGCCAGGTGGATGTTGTGCGTAGCCGGAGCCAAGTTGAAGGTGAGCGGCGTGTGGGCCCGAAGCCCAGGGAGCGCTGCGGGGGGGGTGGGGGCCGGAGGGGAGGTTGGTCTGCGGCTCGCCCGGGCCCAGGGCCGTCCGGTGCTCCGGGGGTCACCCAGCGTCCCTTAGGGGACGGCCGCGGCGCCCAAGTCTGAGGAGTGCGGGAAGGTAAACTTGACCGAACTTTCCTAACCCGGAGGACCGGTGATAGTGACCTACGATACTTTTAGGAGGGAAGCAAATCAACTCCAGATGCAGCCTCGAATGAAATGAAGCGGATTGGATTAAAACCTATATAAATGGAGTCTGACAACTTTAATTGTATATGCTTGTTTTCTGTTCCTGCCTACGTGAGAACGATAAAGCAGACTCATCGTCGTTATGAAATTTCTTGAAATTTCTCGCTTAACTAGGAAGAGGACTATGTGAAATATGTATTTCCGATAAGATTAAAACTTAAAGGAGTTTGAGTATTTATTGACTAAAATAGATTACTCCAAAGTGTCTATTGTGTAAATTAGATTCCTGAACGTAATGAACACAGCCGAATGGCATTTTTGATAAATTGGTCTACCCTGTTTTAGTAAAAATAGCTCCCTTTTACCATAATTTAATTCCTGTGTTTACTGTAAAACCCGTTGCGGAGTTTTGAAGGACAAACCTTAATTTTTTTTCCTTGTCTTCCTAAATGGACATTTAGCTGAACATCAGTGAGGTTTATTTTTTAAGCATCTTGGCAAAACTCCATGGGAGATGGATTTGGTTTCCAGAGAGGTATTAGATTTTATGAACTCTTTGACACCCCAAATCGGCTGGTGATTAGCTGCTTCAGGATATCATGAGGATGTTTAACTGTAACTGCAGGATTGGGTTGGAAGTTTCCTTGTCAGTTTACGTGAATGAACTTTAAGGTATTGGTCTTGAAAAAGCAGATTATGGGAGCGAGCATCACTATCATTCTCTGTACGGAGCATCCATTGACTTTGGGTGGTAGATAAAGATTTGGCCTTAGATGATTTCCTGTTGCCACTCCATCGCAGGTCTGAGAACCTTCATTTGGCTATGGAATGCCAGAGTTCAAGTATAAGGCTAAACTGGTTCTTTCTCTGGGCCCTGAAGAGGCCTTTTGAGTTGGTATCCAGTTTAACGTCATCTCTGTTCCCACAGAGTAAGTGAGCCAATGAGACTGCAGTTTGAGAAGAGAGAATTCATTAGTTTCAGACTCTTCTCGTCTTTCCAGAGCCCCTGACCCAGAGATCGGGTTGCCTGCAGAGCCCCGTATGGGCTGTGGCGCTGCCACCTGAGGGTAGAGACTAGACTCAGATCCAGGTTGGAGACTTCTGCGGGTTTGCTGGAGACCAGACTGTTGAGCCCCTCCCATGCCTCTGCTGTGCCCCAGTGAGCCGGGCCTGAGTTCTTGTCCCTCTGCTTGGTCTTGAAGCTGCCTTGGGATGTGGACTGAGTGCCCAGGAAGAGAGCTTCTGAAGATTGAGCTCTATTTCGTTTCCTTTTTAGTCCCAAAGGCTTGTGGTATGGAAGTGTCAGTGCTTTGGTGTTGCTAAGACTAGTTGGACAAGTTTTTTATCCTATCCCAGACTTGTAAAAACCAGGCTTTTTTTTTTTTTTGGGTAACAAGAAAAACACCATTGTATAAATTTGCCTTTTAAATACATGTTTGAAAAGAGGACACTTTCTAAAACAAGCTCATGTAACTGTGTGTGAGCGAAGCTTTTGGGGACGGGGCCTGCCAGTGACTGGCTTCCCATGGGGGCGTTAGTCCTACGTGATGACTGGTGCTCCCCTTTAAGGAGTCTCCCCAAAAGTAACCTTGAAACGTTTTTCCTCTTTTTCAAAATCAGAAAATAATTCCAGTTTTGTCCAAAGTCCGTTTCTCTGATGGGTTTTAATTTGCGTTTTCCTGTTATGGCAGTGTTCCCCAGAAGTATATTATCTTGATTACAATACGTATCCCATTCAGTACCCTTTAGAAACTACCGAGGAAACAAATCATCAAGGAGTTCTACACAGCTGCTGTCTTTGTTTTCTTGGTTCTTTTAATATCGGTGTCTTTGAGATTGGGTGTGGGAGGGGGTCGTTGTCAGTGGATTAAAGGTTTTTTCCCTCTCTGTGAAACTATGTGTAGTTTTTTTTTTTTTTTTAAGGTGCAAGGCAGTGAAGGGATGGGGTTATGCAAGAGCTCCTGATACAGTTGGGTCTGTCGAGTCCCCCTTTGCCTCCTTCCCCAGTTTCACATAGCTCTTGCCAGGAGTTAGCTACCTGAGGAAGTTGGAAGGGTAAGGGGACAAACTGCCAATCCCCTCAGGAATTACTCTCTCCTAATCCACTGAGCTAACCTTAAAAATGTTGTCTGGGGAGCCAGTGGAGACCTTTAATGGCTGTTGAAAAAGTCTCCCGCCCTGTTGTGTACAATTAAAACAGACCCAGCAGGGTTTCTGCAGGAGCTAGGCAGAAGGGCTGGTCTGTGCTTCCTGACCACCCCCCCCCTCCCCGTTTCCCGGTCCACCTGTAGCAGTCAACAATCGGACCAGGAGCACAGCCTCGGGAGCAGTTCTGTCTTAGGAGACCGAACAAGGCTGGAAGTAGGAAATCTGTATTTGTTTCAGCTCATTTATAAAGCACAAGGAACATCCTCAGTGAAACGAAGGAAGGACAAATTTGTTAGAGGGAAGCTGGCACATTTGTAAAAAGAGAAATTCATCACATGAAAAATCGGACAGAGCTAGGCCAAATTCCTACCTGTACTCCTGTTTTACACCATGCATTTGGCGTCATGTAAATTTCACATACTTAAAAGGCAGGTGTATCTGATGGCCTGTACCACAAACTTGACCTTCAAGTTAGTTTATTATATAGGATCCTGCATTGTTTTAGAAATTACCTAAAAACCTATTTATAGTTCATTTATGGTATAAAAATGTAAACATAGTTGCTTTTCCTGTGAAAGGTCTGAATTTTACAAGTAATTGTCAAAGATAGAAATGGGTTATCTTGTTCTCTTGTTTTGTCTGAAGCTCTGCATTATGGCTGCAGAGAGAGAGTTTTGGTTTCAACTGAAATTCCCCTGCCTCTGATTGTTTAAACCAGACCCTTAATCTTATTTTAACATTACTTAAAACGTTCAAAAAACCCGGAAGAATTGTTTTGTATAAGTAGCAAGTGAACGTAGTTTAAACACTCAAGCAATTCTGGTATCTAATTGGAAACAGGTGGAATTCTTGGAATCCTGTGTTTGAATCTTATTATAGCAAAGCACAGAGACACTTTTTACTTCTGGCCATTTGTTTTGTTGAAGCTATTTGAAGAGGGGGCCCCGTGACCTCTCATTACGCCCCACTACTGTTTACCTGGACGTTCCAGTCGTGCTGGGCATTTTAGGAACTAGATGCCTGTGTATGTCTGGACACCCAAAACAATGGTGCGGAAAAAAGGAACTTTAATGGCATACTTAGGCAAGTAATTTAATGTCTGTATTATATAGCATTTATGGCAAAGAAGTTGTGAATTCACTTGTGATTTCTGATTTAATAAACATTTATTGACATGAGCATTTGGGTAAATTTTATTAAACCCTGATAATGATTTAGAATTCAGAGAGAAATTACTTTTCTTAAAAACTCTACATTTAGGGCGCCTGGGTGGCTCAGTTGGTTAAGCGACTGCCTTCGGCTCAGGTCATGGTCCTGGAGTCCCTGGATCAAGTCCCGCTTTGGGCTCCCTGCTCGGCAGGGAGTCTGCTTCTCCCTCTGACCCTCCCAACCCTCCCCCCTCTCATGTGCTCTCTCTCTCAGTCTCTCTCTCTCAAATAAATAAATAAAATCTTAAAAAAAAAACCCCCAAAAACAAAAAAAACCCCTCTACATTTAGGGATATAAACGCACATAGCAACCCCCCCCCCCCCCCCGGCAAAAAAAACAAAGCAAAACAAACACCAAACCGAGTTGGTTTCAACAAATGTAAGTGGTGGGGCTCTCTGAATTATCTCGGCCATTTTTCCTATTCTAGTTTTCAAAGCCAGCTAAATAGCCCTGGTTTTGCTGTATGTTTAAGAAGCAGGGTTTGGTTGGTGTTTAGGTATTGATTTTATTGAAGAGGACAGCTAGGATTTGTATTGAGCTGTTGTTCCTGTCACAGTTTTGGATTTGCTGAGCTGTAATCAGTCCCCATTTCAGCTGTCTTCTGAGAAAGTGGGTAGCGGAGAATGGTCTTTGGTGGGAGGTGTCCCTGCAGGAAGTGACCTGGGATTAAGGGGGTGACCGATGGCGTCGCTCACCTTCGTGGGCACGATAGGAGGAACAGCTTTGAAGCACTTTTGATTTTTAAGAAGTTCACATGCTGCCCTATTCACATGATACGTCACAGTTAAAAAACACAATGAGGGCAAGCAAGGGTTTCTGCAAGACATCTAATTTGTTGCAAAACCCATCAAGGGCCTTTCCTTCGAAAAGTAAACAACTCTAATAAAAATAATTCTCATTCTTGCTGTAATTAAATTCTGAGAGGATGATGTTAGTGCACGAAATAAATCTTGTCATTTTCTTCATTTAAATCTGAAAGCTCTTCCTCGCTGCAGGAGGCCCAGGGCAGTTGGCAGAATTTTTGTGTTTATTAGAGCCCTGGGCCATGGGCAACCCGGGAAGTTCCTCAGACCTGGTCGGTACGATTCCCACCTAGAGGAACCCCCCGCATCCTCAGGAACCCCGTCAGACAGGTGGCTGGAGAAGGAGCGAGGTTGGGAGTGTTCGTTCATTCCTCCCAGGAATTTACCCAGCACCACAAAGCGACTGGGAGAAATAGCCAGGTAGGAGATTCACACGGAACTGAATAGATTGTTTCCTTTCACTTGTGAAAATGAGTTGGCCCACACCTTTATAAAACCCAGGAGGCCACAATGGGGCCCACTCAGCTGACAATTGAAACCCTCAATGCTTTTGACTGTGATATATGAAGTTAATGTTGGAAGAAATTACCAGAACTTACTC